CGAGGTTTGACTCCATCGCCCTGGACCCGGCCTGCAGGTCTCCGCGCGCCCCCGAGGCGCTCACGCCTGCCGCCCCGCCCTCCCGCCTCTCCACAGGGGGGCGCGGAGGAGGAGGAGGAGGACGACGACGACGAGGAGCACGACGACGACGAGGAGAGGAGGAGCACGACGACGACGACGAGGAGCACGGCGGCGACGAGGGGGCGAGGAGGAGCACGACGACGACGACGACGAGGAGAAGAACGACGAGGACGCCCGACCAGAACATGGAGAGGGTATGGGCGCCGTCGGCATGGCCAAAGTCGGGCTCCACATCGAGCCGCATCGCCGATGCATCGGCGGTGCATCGGCGATGCGGTGCGATTCCCCGACCTCCTCTACTCGGACCCTACCTGGGAGGGCTAGAATGCCCGCCCCCGCGCTTGCAATGGGTCGGTGTGCATCGGGCCCGCTCGCCCTTTGCGAAGCAGTGACGAGGGCCCCCCGACGCATCGGGCCCAAGATGCGTCCGCCTTTGTGGCCCTGTCCCTGCGGCTTGGGCCTCCCGAGAAAGAAACAAAACCGCCCCAAATTCAAAAACCTCGGGGACGGGCAGGTCCGTGCACCCTCCCCTGAATCTCCCCCCCCACTCGGAAGCCGGGCAAGGGCTGCTAAATCCGTGGCTGCCAAAATCGACCTCCGGGAAGTTGTCTTCGTCCTTCCGAGAAGAGGCCCGTTGGCTGTCTCGCGTGCCGCGCCTCATTCGGGGAAGCTGTTGTTTCCTTCCGGGAGGGCCGTTTTAGCAACCACGGTTTTAGCAGCCCTCGCCCAGCTTCCGACCCCCACAGGCGCCCCCCCCCCCACCCACCCGAGCGCGGCGGCGGAACCGCGCAGCAGCGCAACTGCAGAGCACCACGTGCAGCCCTCGTGCTGCCCGCAGGGAGCCCCTGGGAAGCAGGGGCGACGACACCGGCCACGGCGAGCCCCGCCCGCGAGGAGGTCCCCCGACTGGGGGGCCACATGTGAATCACTGTCCCCTATTGATAAACACCCCCTCCCCCAGGCGACTGGGGGCCAACCAGGGTCCATGCCGACCCCACCCCCCACCATCCCTTATATAAACAATACAAAACACACTCTGCCTCCAAATTCGGAACATGCGCAGCCAACCCGATGCGGCCCCCCCCACCATCCCTGTCACAAAAACAATACAGAGTACACTTGGCGGCGGCGGCGGCTGCGGCGGCTGCGGCGGCGGTGGCGGCGGCTGCGGCGGCTGCGGCGGCGGCGGCGGCGGCGGCGGCGGGGGGGGGCGGCGGCGGCGCGGCGGCGGCGGCGGCGGTGGCGGCAGCGGCAGCGGCTGCGGCGGCGGCGGTTTGGCGGCGGGGGGCGGCGGCGACGGCGGCGGCGGCGGCGGCGGCGGCGGCGGCGGCGGCGGCGGCGGCGGCGGCGGCGGCGCGGCGGCGGCGGCAGCCGGCAGTGGCTGCGGCGGCGGCGGCGGTTTGGCAGCGGGGGGCGGCGGCGGCGGCGGCGGCGGCGGCGGAGGCGGAGGCGGAGGCGGCGGCGGCGGCGGCGGCGGCGGCGCCAGTTTGGGCCCCCAGTAGCTGTCCATCCCAAGACGACTGCTGAATATGCTCAGGCTCGGGCAAGACTCGGGTTCTACGTATGTGTTGGGAGGGCGGGTGGAAGTGAGCGAGACGGCTTGCGGGCGGGGAGGGGGTAACTTGACCATACCCCTACCCCCCCCCCCACGATTTTTTGAGGGGAAGGTGGGGTTCACTTCGCTCGGGAGCTCCCGAACGAAGTGAACCCCACCCTCCCCCTCGGAAATCGCGGGGGGGATAGGGGTAGGGTTCACATGTGCCCGACGTCGGAGGAGCGGCCCGAAGACAGGGGCCCCTCGGAACTCAGAGTGGTCCTTCCTGCGGAGGCCTCGCGGCTGGTGCCGCCGACCCTGGAGGGAGACGACGACGACGACGACGACGACGACGACGACGACGACGACGACGACGACGAGGACGACGGCGGCGGCGGCAACGACGACGACGACGACGGCGACGACGACGACGACAACGACGACGACGACGACGGCGACGACGACGACGACGACGGCGGCGGCGGCGGCGGCGGCGGCGACGGCGGCGGCGGCCGCGAGGCACTGCTGCCGCACGCAGAGGCCGCCGCCGCCGCCGTCGTCGTCGTCGCCGCCCTTTGTGGCCCGCCGCACCCACGGCGGGGCCACAGAAGGACGCCCACGGCGGCGCCTCTGCTGCCCGCTGCGCCGAGACTCGGTGCGCGCGGCGGTCCTGCGGGGCCGACGCCGCACACCGGGCACGATCGGGTGCTGCCGTGAACGCCCGAAATGGACCTGGGAAAAACGGGCACGAAATTAGGTAAAGAAACAATGACATAAACATAAAAACTCAGACGTCCGCGAGGATTTCTCGGATCGGCGCTGGACCCCCTGGCGGCGCCTCCGGCGCCGCCCCTGGCGCGCTCCGCGCGACAGGGCGTGGGGGTCCAACACCGATCCGAGAAATCCGCGCGGACCTCCGAGTGTTATGTTTACGTCATTGTTTGTTCCCCGAGATATACCCCAACAACGAATGATGCACAGAACCAACTGCGGCCGCTGTTGGGCTGCCAGCCTTCTGCCTCGAAAGGGCAACGTCCGCGGCGACACCGACGGCGAATCCAGCGCAAAACGGGCAAGATTTGCCAGCGGTCTACGTGCCCTCTCTTTCCGTACGCATGTCGATCGCACCGAGCCCACACACGAGCCCGCTCACGCCCGTGCCCGGCCCAACCTCCCCCCGCCCTAGAAGGGCTAATCTGCATGCGGTCGATTTCCTGCAGGCCGCTGGAGTATCTGGTGGACCTGGTGGATCTGGTGGAACTGCTCCGCGCCGCGTGCGCCTCTTCCGAATTTGACGCTCTCGTCTCGGCGCCCTCTTTGAGAGGGGCAAAACACGTGGGGCATATGGGCCTCAGCGAAGCACATGAGCTCTCGGAACTCCGCGCGGACGTCCTGCATCGGCGCTGGGCCCCCCTGACGACGCCTCGGGCGCCGCTTCGCTCTTCTTCGACTCCCCTCTCCCGAGGGGCAACGATAGGGGGACTGGCATAGAGGGGAAGACATCGACCTGGAATCGGTGATGCATCGCCGATAGGTCAGCGATAGGCCCCCGATCGCAAATCCGCACGTTCCTGGGCGGGTGGGGCAATCGGGCCACCATCGGCGATGAACGGGCGATTGGGCGTCGATGCATCCCCCCCTGTGCCTATCCCCCCCTATCGTTGCCCCTGATCTCCCCCCCACCCTGGTCACGTCACGACTCGCGCCAGCGCCGCCTGGGAACTAGCCATTCCTAGGCATTCCCAGACGGCGCAGGCCCGCATCGCGGCAGCAGGAGGAGGAGGAGGAGGAGGAGGAGGAGGAGGGGGAGGAGGGGGAGGAGGAGGAGGAGGAGGAGGAGGAGGAGGAGGAGGAGGAGGCGGAGGAGGAGGCGGAGGAGGAGGATCACTGAATACACCCTCTGTCCGAGCGTCCTCTTTACAAGCCTCTACAACGGTTCATTTCCACTGAGGGAACTGCCTCGTCGGAAAACAACCGTTTGAAGACTCTGGAGCATGCCACAACATTTTTTCTCGGGATTCCAACGCCACGGATCAACCTGACTGTTGCGTCTTGACGATCCTGAATCGCGCCAGAAGGCCATTCTTGGGACTCCCAGACCGCGAATCAATGTAACTGACTGACCGTAAAAATCCTGAACCCTTCCGAACACACAATTTCTGGTACGTTGATGTTAGGAGCCCGTGAATGATGAACTCTTGCGAAATTATAAACGAATGTGCGCGGCGCTAAAACGAAAGCCACAGTTTGAAAACCACCCGCCTTCAATCCGGGAAACTCTTGCAATGTTTCAAAAAGAATGTGCGTGGCGCTAAAGCGAGAGCCACACATTTTGAAAAGAACCTGCCTTCAATCCGTGACACCCTAAGCGAATGTGCGCGGCGCTAAAGCGAGAGCCACATGTTGAAAACCCCCGCCCTCAATCCGTGAAACTCTTGCAAATGTTGAAAACGAATGTGCGCGGCGCGGAAGCGAGAGCCACATTTTGAAAACCACCCGCTCTCAATCCGTGAAGCTCTCGCAAATGATTAAAGCGAATGCGCACGGCGCTAAAGCGAGAGCCACATGTTGAAAACCACCCGCCCTCAATCCGTGAAACCCTTCCAAATGTTGAAAACGAATGAGCGCGGCGCGGAAGCGAGAGCCACATTTTGAAAACCACCCGCTCTCAATCCGTGAAGCTCTCGCAGATGAGTAAAGCGAATGCGCGCGACGCTAAGGCGAGAGCCACATGTTGAAAACCACCCGCCCTCCATCTGCCAACGTTTAGACTTAAGGGTCATAAGTGGTGAGGAAATCCCGGCCCGCCCTGAAAACTGGCCTCCGGGTGCGACAGGGAGAAATGATGTATTTGGGTAAGGAATGGAGGAGGAGGAGGAGGAGGAGGAGGAGGGGGAGGAAAAGGAGGCGAATGAGGAGCAGGAGGAGGGGGAGGAGGAGGCAGCTGGGGCCGCGCTCCTCCAAACGCGGGGGGGGCTCTCGCAAGCCCACCGAGCGCACGTTGATGGGGGGGGCGGGGGCGTGGGGGGGGGTACGGCGTAACGCCCCCCCCCCGCCGTGCGGCTCCTTCCAGCACCACGACCGCGCCCGCGCACACGACGACGATGAGCGACGAGCGACGAGCGACGAGCGACGAGCGACGACGACGCGAGCAGCATGCAGGCGGCGATCTGCCCCACAGCGCCTGTGTACACCACAATGCTCGCGTGCACCACAGCGCTTGTGTACACCACAGCGCTTGCGTACACTGCAACAGCCGTGTGCAACACAGCGCCTGTGTACGACAGAGCGCTCGCCTGCAACACAGCGCTGGTGCACACCACAGTGAATGTGTACACCGCAGCAGCCATGTGTAACACATCGCCTGTCGACACCACATTGCTTACGTGCACCGCAGCGCCCGCGCACCCCAGAGCGCCTGTCTACACCACAGCATCCGCGTGCAACGCAGCGCCGGTGTACACCAGAGTGCCCGCGTGCACAAGACAGGCAGAAAGAGCATGTCGTTGAGGATCTGGTGCGGACAGCGAAATGCCACGCCAGGGAAGTGCTGATCATAGAATGCGACGTTTTTCCCTCCTCTCTCCTCCACCTCCGCCTCCTCCTCCTCATCCTCCTCCTCCCCCTCGTCCTCCTCCTCATCGTCCTCCTCTTCCTCCCTCACCCTCCCCCCCTGTCGTGCGGGTCGGCACTACAGCGCACGTGCGCGTCTCAGCGTGCACCATAAAAGGTTGATTCATTGGTGCCGTGCTGAGTGCACGCAGGCATTGTGGTGTACACTGGTGCTGTGTTGCACACGGCTGATGTGGTGTACACAAGCACCATGGTGCCAGCAGGCACTGTGGCACACACTGGCGATGTGATGCACGCGGCTGCTGTGGTGTACAAAGGCGGTGTGGTGTACCCGGGCGCTGTGGTGCACGCAGGCACTATGGTGTACACAGGCGTTGTGGCGCAGATCGCCACCGACATGCTGCTGCTACCAGTCCTTGGTGATTCCTAGGCATTGCCAGACGCCGCCAGCGCGAAACGTGACGTCATCGGCCCGCTCCGCCCCCTCCAGATGATCATCAGCTGCGTCCGCGCGCACGACGACGATGAGCGACGAGCGACGAGCGACGAGAGACGAGCGACAACGACGACGACGACGACGACGACGACGACGACGACGACGACGACGACGACGACGACTGCGGGCCAAACTCCTATGCGGATTCCTTTGCGGACACCTATGCGGATCACGATGCGCACGGCGGCAGTGCCCGGAACGCACTGGGTGTGGGAGCGTTACGTCATAGGGAAGGGGCCGGGGGCCATGACGCCCGTCATGCCCCACGCAAGAAAGAAAAGGGCTCCAGCCCTGTGAGAAGGCTCCCGTGCCACAGGCGCCTTCTGAGAGGGCGTGATAGGTGTCTTCTGGACCAGGACAGACAAACGACGCCACCCCACCTACGGCCCAACGGGGCTTAGCGTATGCCAGCACAGGGCTTAGCGTATGCCAGGAAAGCCCGAATGGGCTTTTGCGTGGTGTGCGCTGAGGCCCGCGAAGGGCCGTAGCGCGACATGGAGGTGTTCCTTGATTTTTGGTCGATCTTCTGGTTTCTGATGAGCATGGCCGCCTCGAGAGCTCCCCGGGGGTCCCCCCCCCGCCGCTGGGCAGCGGGATCTCGGCGTCCACGAGCACGGAGCCCGATGACAGCTCCACTTTGACCCGGTCGCGCTGGACGCCGCTGCCCACCTGAACGGGAAGAGGGGTCGGGGCGAGGAAGAGGAGGGGAGGTAGCATGATCGAAGATCGAGGCATACTCATTCTGCGCTTCTGCCACGTCTTGAGGCGGAGGCTTCGGGGAACACGCAAAGTCAGACGGATGGGCCAAAGTTTACCCCACATCTGGCCACATAAGGCAGCAACGCTGCGCTTTCAATGCCCAGAAAATCCACCGACCCCATGTGGGTCTCCAGGCGTGTGAGATCCCCCATCCTCCCCCAGGGACCCCAAACAGGAATGTCGGCAGCACCCCCTGGCCCAGGCCGACCCCCGCGGGGACGCATCATGCATGGGGCACGGGCCTTTCCGGGGCTCCGCGGGGGCTCCAGGACAGCCCGGGAAGGCTGCAGGGCGGCTGCCTAGGCTTCAGGCTGCTCCAGGAGAGCAGTCTCTTCTCCGCGACTGGCGGGCGCGACGGGATGGGTGGAGGTGGGGAGGCGGGAGGGAGGCATGACGTAATGCCCCCGCCCACCCCCCACCGTGACAAACTGTGGTGCCGGGCGCACTCTCGCCATCGCGTGGATGTCCATTCCCTGTGCATGTTTTGGTTTCGTGCGTGTATTTTTTCCGCAACGTGAACAAAAATGCTCCTCGATGGCCCTTGCCGATAAAAAATACACACGTCCGAGCGATGCCAAGCACTGTGGCAGTGCTGGTGACGCACTGGGGAGCGGGGAGCGTTGGGTCATGAGGGGGGCATATAGCGCGCGCTTTGGCCCAGAAGGTTACACAGAAGCACTCCCAAGAGAGAGAGACCAAATGCGGCCCCCACCTGCTTCCAAGAAGGTCCAGATCCAGCCAAGAAGTGTTTCCAAGAAATTGTCCCAAAGTCCCCCTGATTCATCTGGATCTCTATTGAGAGGCCATCGATAACTTTGTTGGCCTGCTGATCTACTCGATGCCCAGCGCGAACTGACCATGCCTTCAGATTGGCCCGATACAAATCCAAATTCTCCAGTCCGAACCACATGGGAAGAGCACCAAAGTCGTCGCTGCGCGACTCAGTCCAGAAAGAGGGTGCTACAACATCTGTCGTCCAATCCCACGGAATGTAATAGTAGTCCCAGTCGTCTCCGTCGTGCCAGGACTGGTCCCGGTGGCTCTCGTCGTACCATTGGGTGCCCGTTCTATCTTCCCGAAAACCACGTGTTCACGAGCGTTCACCCCAATATGGACTGGACCACCAATCAAACGCCCGCCTCCACGGGATCTCCTGGTCTGTCTCCGCTTGTGTCTGGATGATATGGCTTCTCCTCTCGCCAGTCGTGATATTCCTGCTCGATCTCCAATGATTTCTGGTTGGACTGGTTTCTCCTTTCTCAAATCCGTGGGGTGTGGTCCTCCTCTACGGGAGGGGGTCCCGTGTCGACATCTCGTTGTTTCTGACGCCTGGCCTCCTCTCCGTCACCAACCATGCTCCGCTTACCAACGGTCGCGGGCTGGGAGGGCCAACGAAGTAGGGAGTGTGACGTAGAGAACTTTGCACACGCAGACGATGGGGAGCGCTCTGACCACATGAGTCAGCCCACCTAAGCCACAGTAGCTGTGGAAGGCACGAGTGGCACGCTGGGCGCAAAGAGAGAGGGAGGAGACAGAGAGAGTGAGTGAGAGAGAGAGAGAGAGAGACCCACGCACACCCGACGGCACCAAGGGTTTGGGAGACACCCTGGCGGCTCCCCCTTGGGGTGCTCAAACCAACATAAAGCCTGACACATCCTCACAAACTGCATTGAAAACAAAAGAGCATACTATGAAAAGCGCAGGAAGGAGTCTCCATGCGCAAGTGAAGCTGATTGTGAGTGAGCCTGAGTGTGAGTGAGTCTGGGTATGGGTGGGTCTGAGTGGGAGTGAAAATGAGTGTGAATAAGGCTGAGCGAGTGGATCAGAACAAGAGTGAGTCTAAAGGATGAGCGAGGAGGAAGGTGTGTGAAGAGAGTCGGCGGCGACCAAGTATATGGGAAAGTGCTGCTTGGGATCACGCTGGCCCACATTACTGTTGACAGCATTCCTCACACCATCATTTGTCAGAATGAGGGGGCCGAACGGTCATTCCCTATCCCTGGGCGCGTGGCTGAATCGAGTTTCTGCGGTGCGGATTGTTGCTGTTGTTGTCGTCGTCCGCCCCGCGACCCGGCCCGCGACCCACAAGCGACCGACCCGCGCCCCACCCGCGACCCACCCGCGACCCACCCTGCGACCCGCCCACGACCAACGCGCGACCCACCCCGCGACCCGCCCGCGACCCACCCGCGACCCACCCGCGACCCACCCCGCGACCCACCCACATTGCTGTGACGAAAGAATCGGCGCCTGCGGCGGGCTCACTGTATAATGTGTAAGAATTCGGCGCCTGCGGCGGGCTTCTTCAGAGCCTCGCAGACTGCCGACGTCCTCGCCGCCCCATCACTCTTATCCCGAACTGCGGGGTGCTACGTAGTGTTATTACTCTTCCAGAGACGAAGACCCGTACGAGGTAGACCGTCTTCCCTCCCCCCCCCTCCGCCCCTCCTGCTCTGCTTGCCGTTACCCTTAAGTCGGGCCTGTCCCCCAACAGGGAGATCGAAAAATAAAAAGTAGTCAAAAAATTCCCCAAACATGGTCAAAAATGGTAGAAAAATCCTTCCCTGACTATTTGTTTTCACTATTTTCGTAGATCCCTCCTGTAGAGGGACGGGCCCGACTTAACGTTACCCCCCCCCCCCTCCTGGGAGGGCGGGGGGGGAGCACCGAGGGAAACCTGCATCGTTGTCCTCCTCCGATTCGCGGGCCCGCGCTGGGCGCCCCTCCCCTGGCGCGCGGACGCAGACCTCCGAGAGCTTACGCTTCAGTCGGGCCTGTCCCTCCACAGGGGGAATATTCAAAAATGGTCCAAAAATAGTCTGGGGACTATTGTCCTACCATTTCTGAGCATTTCGGGCTTTTCGGGGTATCTTGAACTTTGCGTCCAAACTCGGCCTGTAGGGGGACAGGCTGGACGTAAGCTTACGCGTATGAAGCTCATGCTCATGTTTGCTCATCCGAGCGGATCTCCGCAGGCTTGCGCGCGTGCATGCTGATATGGATTCTTCTCCATGGGAGGGGCTCGACTCGAGGCCCGCCTGGTCCGCGAGCGTGGACCGCACCTCGTCCTCGAAGCTCGCCTTCAGCGAGCTGTCCGACACCAGCCTCGGGCGCGGGGAGGGGGGCCCAAGGGCGGCGGGCCAAGAGATGGGGCACAGGAGGACATTAGAATGCTACAGTCGGGGCGTTGACCTAAGGAACCCCAGGAACGAGGCCCCTTTTTTCCATAAGTTAAACTTCGATTTGCTATCGAAAACATAAGGAAAACCTGAGGCAAGCTGTGAAACACTTAAGGAACGCGGAGCCCCTCCCCAACGAAAAGGGTTCCTTCTTCAGGGCCCCGACTGTATGCACCCCCACTCGGGGCGCACATCCGAACGAGCACGTCGCACGAGCAAATTGCAGCATATCGCCAGCCAGGCGGCACGGCCAGAAAGCGCCCGCCGCCGAGCATGACGGCTGGCGCTGGAAAGAACGGGTGCAACATCGATGTACGAAGAGCACGTTGTCACGGCTATCTCTGTGAGGCGATCCCCTGCGAGGGCGCCTTCTGTGCACGGTATCCCCTTGCCAGGGCCTCTTCGGCGCACGCTATCCCCAAGGTTGGGGGATGGCGTGTAATTCGCGAACTGGCGGCACCACATCGCGCGCGATCTTCCTAACGCCAGCCGCATAAGATTTTGAGCGCGCGCGTCGCGTCTGGGGGGCAGACGCGCACTTTTACGAGCGAGAAGGAAGCCCTGTGGCACGGAAGGGGAGGAGAACGCGAGGAGGAGCAGGATGACCAGTGCAAAACCAAGACGCATCAACGATGTTGTAATAAACCCACCCTCCAAGTTACCTCTTCACTGGTCCCTACAAGAACTTATTTTCACTGCGGGAAATGCCACGTTGGAAGACAACCGTCTGAGAATTCTCAATCGTGCTTTGACACCGCTCCTTGACACCAACGCCGCAAATCAACCTTACTGTTGCATCCTGACGACCCTGCATCGTGCCAGAGCACCATTCCTGGGACGTCTACACCGCGAACCAACGTGACTGCTGCGCCCTGACAGTCCTATTTCGTGCCAGATCACCGTTCCTGAGACGTCAACCATAATAATCCGTTCAGCTGTTGTAAGCGTTTGAAACGAATGTGCACGGCGCTAGAGCGAGAGCCACATCCTTGAACAAGAACCGCCCTCCATCCGTCCTGAAACTGTTGCACACTTTGTTATATCTATACATATATATATTATTTGCTTAACAACAAAAAATGAACAAGAGCCACCCTCCATCCGTCAATAAGACGACGGTGCGCACAGCGACAGCGAGACCCACATTTTCAAGGCGGCCCGCCCTCCATGCGTTCAACTGCTGCACGCTTCAGAAGCACGTGTGCGCGGCGCTGGAGCGAGAGCCACCTTCCGAAGGCCACCCGCCCTCCGTCCGCGCATCTCGTGCAGATTGATATGACGAGTTTGCGAGGCCCTATGGCGAGAACGATAGGTAAAAAAACACCCGCCCTCTGTTACAAACTGTTACAAAACGAATGCGCGAGGCGCGAAGGCAAGAACCATTTATTTTTTTGGGGGGAAGAAAGAAAGAAGAACAACAAAAAAAAACGCCATCCGTCTGTGAGGCCCCCGCAGACTTTTCAGACGACTGCGCGCGACGCTGAGGCGAGAGCCACGTTGTGACAACCACCCACCCTCCGTCCACACTTGTGAAACCGTTGCGAAACCACGTTGTGAAACCGTTGCACACTTGGAAAAAACGAGTGTGCGCGGCGCTACGGCGAGAGCCACATTTTGAAAACGATCCCGGAAACTGTCGCAAATTTCAAGCTTCACGATCATAAATGGTAAAGTAGAAGTCTCAAGCGAAACGCCCGGCCCGCTCTACCGTCACGTCTCGA